CAATGCCTTAGAAGCGTTAAAAATGTTATTATTGAAATGTATACGAATTACTACCAAGGAACTGCTTTAATCATGTTGCTAATGAAGGCCATAACAAATTTAAAAGATGTACAACAAATATTTCAATTTATTATAACAAAGCTTTGGTTCTCCAAAAAAAATATATAGTAGCTTAGAAGATTTCCGAGGACTTCTTATAGAACGTGAGATAATTTTACTATTTATTTACAATATTATTCATTAGAATCCAATGATTTCGAACCAAGGTGCATGCAATGGGAGCGAGTGAGAGCGTGCCTCGCCGTAGATACAAATGTATCTGTATCTGTGGCTTTGGTGCTCTGGCGCGCGTCGTCTTCAATTGATTGCATGGCCAAAGGGAAACTGAGCAGTCGGCAGTCGGCAGTCGGCTTTCGGATTGGATCTCATTCTCAGCGACTGCGCGTGTCTCTCAGACCGCTCAGCCCCCCTACCCCCGTCCATTCCCCCACAATATCATACTTATTGTCAATGATGACAGTGCTCGGCTCCCATTCGCAGTCGAAGTCCGCTGCTCCGTACCGCTCACACCAACAATGAGACACGAGGGAGCCTACGACTACTGCCTATGTGACTGTGGCTGTGGGTCCCATGGATGTGGATGTGGATGTGAATGTGGATGTGAGTGCCTACTTTACGAGACCGTGGGAAACAGATTTGTCGTGTGTTTCCCACACGTTGGACGGATGGTTGGATTGTGATGCGATCCGATGGATTGCTGAAATGTTGTTGCTGTTGCTGTTGGTTTTGCTGCTGGTTGATTTCAAGCGGGTTGACTGTCGGCCGATGGGGGGCAGTGGGCGAACGGGCAAAAGGGGGGCGGAGGGGGAGGGGCTGCCTTAACTCGCGCAATTATGTCGCATGCTTGGCTGATGATGATGACTGCGACAATTGCACGGGGGGAAAATAGAGTAATATTTTCGGACTTTTCCATAGAATAAATATCATAACCAGGGATATTAAATTGCATTTATAAATAACTTAAGAGTTACCTTTTAAAAACCGGTTAATATTCTTAGAGTTATGTTATTTTATTGTAAATGTCATAAACTTTTTATTCAAGTCAAAAATTTATCGTACTGATAGAAAAAAAATCGTACATTCCGGGGTTTATATGTGCATTCGTACTTTAATAACTGTTACTGTCATTTAAAACATTTTAAATATAATTGCTTATCTTTATAAAAAAAATCGAACATGAGTTTTTTAAGCCCTAATGATATAATATCACAAAATTATAATAATTATTCCAAGTTTTTATTTGTTTTATTTATCTATCTAAGCTGCTCTTGATAATTTGTATATTTAATATTGTAAAGTAACATGACTTTATTTGAGGGGAATAAATTTTGAAACATAACAAATATTTTTATGAATTTCTCTCTGTGTACAACCACTATGATGGCTTTGGCTTTGGGTTGATATTTCGGTGAAGCGTATCGATTAAGTGTAACAGTTTCGCTATCTCGGCGCATTGGGGGTTCCGAAAAACTGTTTTTGCATAGTCCGATTTCCAACCCTTCAGCATTTGTGGACTCTCGTCATAAACTTTAACATCCGGTTGTCGTTCTAAGATTCGTTTTTCGCCCGTCCTCCATAAAAATGTTTTTTTTTTTTAATTCGCTGATCTCAGGGCTACTGGTCAACACAGAGTGTATAAAATGTTTCTTTTTTTATGCCCCTTTATTCGCAGCTGCCGCTGGGTTGGCTTTATCACCATCGCAGCAATATGACACTTGTGGTTGGACGCCTCGGAGTTATTTTTGTGGCCGTGCTTTTTGCCTGGCTTAGCATTTCCCATGATGCTGCAGAATCGCTCTGTTTGTTTGTCTTCTGGTCATGACTTCCGTTAGCCGTTTGGCTTGACTTGGCTTGGCATAGCTTGGCTTTCTGCTGACTGGAGCCATAACAATTAAGCCTCTCGAGGCATTTCGATGGTTCGCCTTTCAAGATGCCTCAACTTTCAACTTGGCCGGCACACGTGGCGTATGAGTAATGCGAATATGCAAAATAATCACGCACACACACATCGATGGACAGAGAGACCGCAAAACCATTTTCGACTAACCTCAATGCACACTAATTGCTTGTCATATATGCCCGTCCATGTGTCGGCCGATGTGTATATAGTTTTGCACAAAACTTGTTGCCATCGCCGGCCGTGTGAACCAAAAGCTTAAAAGCAAAATAGTTACTGATGGGTAAAGACAGTGCTGAGAGGTCAGCGAACAGCGAATAACAGATGCTCTTGAAGGAGAAAATTCCCAAGGATGAAAGGAAAAAACACTATCTTTGTTTTTTAAAGCTACTATTCAATTCATTTATTTTAAGCTTACTACATATTTAACATTTTATTTGAATTTTACTAATTAAAGGTCACCAGACTTAATACTAAATAAATTGAACAACATGTTTATCTACACCAAATATAAAAATAAATTATTTTATCTAGAATTAGATTTAAATGGTAAAGGCAAAGTTCCTTTGTACTTGCACTGTAAATTTATTTTGTAAATTGAAACAATTTTAATAGGATCTCAAATATTACCATTTATCGTATTTTGAATTTTTTAATATTAAAACGAAATCTTTATAAATTATAGATAAACAATTTTTGTAAAATTTATATGTTTAAAAAATATAAAGTAGTTATAACATAGATGAGACAGTATCACTTGTAATCTTCTGATTTTCTGAGCAAACCTATTATTTTTTGGTGCCCTAATTGTAATTGTATGTAAAGTATACAATGTAACCAAAGCTTCCTTTATAAGAAAGTGTATGGCCGCCTAACGACTTCCAAAGTCAGCCTCTGAAAGGCGCAAGCCCAGGCACAAGCTGGCCTCTGTTCGAGCTGCAATCGCAATCGCAGTCGAAGTTGGCTTGGAAGTCGGTCTGCAAGTTGGAGTTTCAGCTGGTGTCCGTGTTGCCAAGTCAGTCGCTTTCAATTTGGCAAACGTGCAGTTCAAAGCCTAGACGCTGATTGGGGGCAAAAGTGCGCGGGATGGACGATGGCGGTGGAAGTGCTGGTGGGGTTTCAGCCAAGATTAATAGTGGCCAAAGGCAAGAGAGCCGAGTCGGTTCGAGAGATCGCTGGTGCGCAAGCGTGCGGTGCACACGCGATTGGCACGAGTTTCGGTCACAGAAAATTACAAAAATAAAAACCCGATTCCGATTCGTAGCGTAGCCTGAGCTGGCCTAACTAGTTATGGCAGCTAACTCCGATTGTTGTGCTGTGTTGTGGGAACCTGCGAACCGGCAAGGACTTGCTGCCTGAATGAGGTCACGGCCTCATTAGATCCCCATACCCAAGTACCATAGCTATAGCTATACCCATACCCATACTTATATACCCATCCCGTTTTCCGTTCCCAGTTCGGAGCGTGTGAACCACAACATGTCATAATCCCCTCGTTGCGACTAGTCCCTTTTAAAATGAACTTATCAGCGCAGAGCTCTGCGAGCCTTGATTATAAATGACAACAAACAGGCCAACAAGTAGCAATAACAGCTGCTCAGCCTGAAACAAAAATCACATCGAAAGGAAACAGAAAACAGAAATAACAGCGTCAGCAGCAGCAACAACAATAATAGTCCCCCGAAAAAGCCGAAAACCCAAGTGAAATTCTTATAAGCCCTTTCCCACACTCGAAGACATCGACATCGAACAACGGCGACGCCTGCGCCTTTTGCCTTTGCCTTTGCCAGTTCCCCAGGACGGAAATGCCCAGCGTCTTAGTCCCACGCTCGCAGAAGGGAACAGGTGCTATTCGGGCCCCTTCGACTACGGCCCTGTGGTGAGATACACCCCCCACCCCTGGCATGTCCCCCGAAGTCCCAAACCCTGGAGAACGGACCGGACAACAACCCATGTACTACTGGGCTCCGGGCCCTGGGTACCGTGTGAATGTGAAAACAAAGTCAGTCGTGCATAAATGACGAACAGGCGATGCGCACTGTGGTTAGAAACTATTGATAGGAATTTTATGCGGCTGAAAAATAATTTAAAAAGTTAATATATAAAGAATCTGCCTATTACAAAAGATTTTTACCAAACAAATATTAACTTTTATAATTTAAATTAATATGAGTTCAATATGTTATTGGTATGTTATTAAAATTAAAATGTTAAATCCCAATTTATTTTTTCCTTTAAAGAAAATTCCATGACCCTGTCTATTACTTTCTGAAAAAAGTTGTTTATTAAATTTACTATACCTTTTATAACAAACCATTATTAATTTATTAATAAATTAATTAAATTAATAATTATAAATTTATTGGTATACCCTTGGCGATTTTTTCATTAAATTTTCTATACCTTTTATTAGAAATCATTATTAATTTATAAATGAATTAATAATTATAAATTATAAATTTATTGATATACCCTTGCCAATTTTTTTTTAATAAAGACTTCATTAAATTTTCTATACCTTTTGTTAGCAATCATTATTAATAATTTTATATATATTTATATAATTGGAGAATAAGCTGATATTTTAACACAATTGTAAAGCAAATAGGACAAGAAACATTTAGTTTAAATGTGATACGAATTAGAACAACACGAATTAAATTTGATTGCCATTTACCAATTGGCAAACACCCACTGTGCGGCAGCGTCGTCTTCATCTACCTGCAGCCAAAACTCATCAAGCGGCCCTTGTCGATTGTACGTGCATGGGAAAAGTACACACACAGAAGACTGGAGCTTGTGGATTCCTGTTGGAATTTATTTGGGAAATACGCGCACATAAAAAGGCCTTTACTTGGCTGGTACCCCTCCTCCACTGGGTTCACCTCTCACCCTGGGTTTTCAGTGCTGTGTGTGAGAGTGCACTCAAATTTCGTACGGTGCTTGGGCTATAGACTGCTCGTGAGATCAGCCGGCGTACGATTTCACTCTTGACTGGCCATCGGCAGCGCAGCAACTTCGCCTCATATATAAATATGAGCGACGCCGGCGCAGCAGCATCAGTAAACGACCAGCTCTCGCGAGGTGCGCACACGCAACGCTCGCTGTCCACAAGCCCAATAAAAGAAATAAGCCAAGAAAAAGCTCCACGAAATACCGCAGCAACATGTATCTGGATACGAAAAACATGACAACCAATGCAAGCAACAACACTTCAGTTGTGACGGCAGCAGCACTACCCACGAACTCAAAGTCCACACGACGTATGCGCAAAGTTTGGCAGCCGCTGCGTCGCCTGCTGAAAGTGGGTGGCAAAGGTCGCACCGCCCAGCTGACCTTGGCCCATCCCAACAATGTGGATCTCAACAACACCCAGCAACAGCAGCAGCAACTGGAGCTGCTCGTCGAGGAGGAGGCCAAGTCAACGGTCGAGGAGTCTATCCACAAATATGGACTGGAACTGCGACACTTGCCCGAGGAGGACGAGGTGTCCATTATGCAACCCCCCAACACACCCACCTTAATTAGCAGTGTTTACGTGGACAAGGTCAGCGCCCAGAGCTGTAGGGCCTGCCAGCATGGACGCAACTGCCAGCACAGACACCATAGCAGCAACTTAAACAACATCAGCAGCAGCAGCAGCAGCAGCAGCAGCATTAACGCCAGCAACATCAACAGTAGTAGCCCACCAAATGCAACACAGTTGTCCAGTAATCTCTGGGATCTTCAGTTGCCCCTCCAGTACATCAGCACCGACAACGGCACCTTCTTTTGGGCCAACACCCAGGAGCGAGTGGACGATGATCTCCTGCATGCCCTGCTCTGTCAGAGCTTCAGTCAACTGCCGGGAACGCTCTGCTAGTTGCACTTCCCACCCACAACAAACCTCAACCCATTACCTAAAAGATCTCAAGTTCATGGTGGTTATACCCCCATTTATTGTAATTTCATTTATTTATTTCCCTGCGCAATATTTACGTTGTTAATGTGATACTAATTTGCATGTAAAATAAAATACAAACACTCAATTTGTACCATACAAATGGAAAGAACAAGAAAAGGAAACGTTTTGTTATTGATATGGGTATGGGAAAAGAACTTGATAAGGAAAACCAGTTTATAAGGTTTTATGTTTTTTGGCCTATTTAATGCTATACGGTTTTGTGGCCCTGAAACCTTTAAAATAATAAAACAAAGTTATAAACAACTAATTGGTATATAAGCACAGGATATAATAGAACATATCTAAAAACAATTAATATGTTACAAACCAAGGATAAATACGTTTTTAATATAAAACTCTACGTTATTATTACAGAAGATTTTAGATAATTAATTTAGGTAATACTGAGCTTAAAATTGTATTTAGCTCAAAGATTATTGTGGAATATGTTAAAAGATCGATCCATATATTTTTGATGTTGAAGATGAGTTAAAATTGAACACGACACCTATTTTGTTTAATAATCATAGGGGATCTGAGAGCAGAACTTGATCTCCTGAAATACTGACATAACGGAAGAACGAAGATCAGAGCAAAGGATAACGGAAGCAATGTTATGAGTGGAACCTAATGAGGCCTGACAGATGAACGGTCTGCAAAGACGGGTTAATAAACTGATAAAATAAAAAACAAGAGAAAGAAGGGGATCTGGGCTTAACTGGTATCATCTTGCAGTGGATGTCACATCAATGCGCCCAGACTATACATAAAGTTAAGAGTGATTGCTAAGGTTGCCCTGAGCACTTATATCCTGTGTTAATGCACTCTTTTATTGCCTGAAGTCATTAGGTTGTGCGACATACATACATAGTGTAAATTATACTCTTTGACTAACCACTTGATTGACTGCGTTTGATAAACCATTCAGGAAGTACTAACCAACAATTATCAAAAAAACATATCAAAACTTTGGACCGGAAAACCGCAAAAAGAAATATAAAATTTGTTGTTAAAAAGCCGATAAACTTAAGTGGTAAAAGTAAGTATGCGGCTAATGTGATGAATATTAGTATTATTATATTTTAAATTAATTTTAATGTTTAATAAAATTTGTTAGTTTTTTAAGCATCTCACTCTGGGGATTTCCACACTTATCAATAAAACAGCTATTTAAATACATGTACATCTAAAGATACTAATCTTTATATTATTAATTATTTGTTAATTATCTTACTTTAACTTTTTATAATCTGGAAAAAATATTACAAAATTCAAACGTTCCTTAGTGTCCCGTTAACTAAATAATTGCAATGGTGACCATGCCAAATAAACCAACTGCTGGTGCCGTAAACTATTTTCACTTTCGTCAGCCTCCCACTGTGAACACCCCAATTAACAACTCGTTTACTCGTGTCTCATAAATTCGTAGGATTATATTTTCGTTGAAAACAAAAGGACGACTGCTTCGGACAAGAGATGCGCCTGTGCATTGTTCCGACTTAACGACCGATCCCGTCTAGCACTTCTCCGCGCGCAAAAGGCGGAAGAGCTCAGCGGGCTGGGCGCCGGAGAACTGCAGGGCGCAGTTGAAGGTATCCAGCAGACAGGAGTTGGCCAGCTCGGCACGATACTTGCCATTGGTGATGCACACCGGTTGGTAGATCATCGAGCAGGGCTTGAAACACTCCTGGACCTCCAGCTTGAAGTTGCCCAGTTTTTCGCGCAGATTCTCGACGAACTCGGAGCTGCACCAGGCGGCATCGGTGGCAGCGTAGGCTATAGAAATATATAGAATTTAATGACCACCGTCTTACCCAATTTTGAATTAGTTTTACTAACCCTGCATGCTGCTCCTTTCGCGGCGACAGTTGTGGGACAAAAGATTGCAGTCGCTGGCAAACTCCTTGAAGTTCTGGCCATCAGTTGCGCACACTGGCTTGTAGATGCTGGCACAGAAAGTTGGACAGGCTGTATCGTTAGTGGACACCGTATTTCCCGATACGGCTGCCACCAGAACCAGGCAGCAAAGTGTCAAAGTTTGGCTCATCATTTTGAGGTAGTATTTAAGTTTTTGGGCTTTTACCGTTGAATGCGTTCTCTCTGTAGTAGCTATTGATTTCAATTGCTGTGACTGTCTGAAGTTTCATTGATTTTTATATATTTTTATGAGTCTCTAGAGCTACTAGTAGATAGTATATCAGCTATAGCGTGCTGATAAGACGGGGCTTCTTATCAGCCATCCAAACAAAAACTCGTTTATGTGGCCTACAAAGTTCTACGAGGAGCCGGCACTGTTTGGGTGACTAACTGTTTATACTCTTGCAGAGGGTTTTATAACTTTGAGCTGCAATTGGTTTTATGTAGTTTTAGTTTTGAAACCGAAAAACGAAACTGAAACTGAAAAACTTTCACAATATTACAACAAGAATGACCGTACAAACTATTTTCTCAATTTCACAGAGAACGTTTTACATTTTGATAATTTTTAAAGAATTATGCATGATAGTTATTTTGGTAGTATAGTTCCTATTCTTTCCTATTTTAAATTCACTTTTGGGTAAGTTTTTGTGGAACAGTTTTTATGTATGCTTTTTTTTCACTTTATCTACTTCATAGTTAGGCCACAAATATTTTTGCATGCTTTCTCTGCGGTTTTAAAATTCCCAAATTCTTAAAGCCTAAGCCCTCGTTGATAATATTAGCTTCCTACTTTCCAAGCTTAAGTATAAAAAGCGGGCCAGTCCAATGGATAATCACAGTTGTAAAGTGTCAAAGCTTCCAGTGACATTCAATTGGTGAGCTTCCTTTAAGGACCTGCAAGAGCTTCAATAAATCCGCAATGGCCGACAAGAAGAACCTCCTGCTGCTGTTCGATCACCCCACAGAGCCGGTGTTCATGGACAAGGGCGGCAATAAAACCGTGTTCGAAGTGCCCGACTCCTACATGACCGAGAACTATGGCGAGCTCTGCAAGAGTGTCCAGAAGCGGATCAGCGCGGATAGAGATCCCAAAATATTCGTGAGGGAGATTTCCATTCCCGATCTTAGCTACCCCGAGTCCCTGAAACGGAACGAACCGTTCTCGCTTTTCGTGAAGTCACACCGCCAAAAGGCCGGCCACCTGATCGAAGTGTTTCTGACGTTGGAATCCGTGGACCATCTGCAAAGTGTGGCCGTGTACGCCAGGGATCGCGTTCATCCGGTGCTCTTCAACTACGCCCTTTCGGTGGCCCTGCTCCATCGCAGGGACACCCAGGGCTTGGATCTGCCCTCATTCTGGCAGACCTTTCCCGACCGCTTCGTGGACTCGGCGGTGATGCAGAAACTTCGAGAGGAGTCTTACGTGGTGCAGAATCTAGCCCAACGCAGGCCCATCGTCATCCCCACCAAGTACACCGCCTCCGATCTGGAGCCCGAGCATCGCCTGTGGTACTTCCGCGAGGACATGGGCGTCAATCTGCACCACTGGCACTGGCATCTGATCTACCCTATCGAGATTACCCCCGGCGCCGATCGCAGCATCGTGGACAAGGATCGCCGTGGCGAGCTCTTCTACTATATGCACCAGCAGGTGATTGCCCGCTACAATGCGGAGCGATTCAGCAACCATTTGGGCCGGGTGCAGCCATTTAACAAGCTGACGGACACCATAGCCGAGGGCTACTTCCCCAAGATGGACTCCCTGGTGGCCAGTCGTGCCTTTCCGCCGCGCTTCGACAACACAAAGCTCAGCGATGTCAACCGGCCTGTTGACCAGTTGAGAGTGGGAATCAACGACATGAATCTTTGGAGCAGTCGCATTCTTGAGGCCATCCATCAGGGATTCGTTATAAACGTAAGACTTTCATTAATACTTCCTAATCAGGAGAGCTCTTACATCTTATTGCAATTTTTAGAGGAACGAAGAAAAGATTTATTTGGATGATGTAAAAGGCATCGACATCCTGGGAAACATGATTGAAGCCTCCGTTCTTTCGCCCAACCAAACGATGGTAAGACCTCCTACTTTTGCACAGAAAAAAATTGTGGTCTTTGATAGATTTAGTCGTAGGCTTAAGTATTAAGTCGGTACTTATAAATATATCAATTTGTTGTTAAGAAAAAAAGGCTTAAATTTGATATTTGGATACAATATTTAATATTACTTGGGTTTGAAATTAATCACTCTTTTGTTGTACTTATCTAAATGTCTAGTATGGTGACATCCATAACATGGGACACATCCTGATCGCGTACTCCCACGATCCGACCAACAGGCATCTGGAGTTCCCGGGCGTAATGGGCGATGCGTCCACTGCCATGCGGGACCCCATATTCTACAAGTGGCATGCGTACATCGACGACATTTTCCAGGAGCACAAGAGACTTCTGCCCGCCTATAGGGCGGATGAGCTGAGCTATCAGGACATGGAAGTGCTCAGCGTCAAAGTGGAGAGCCGGGGTCAGCAAAACAGACTGACCACCTTTTTCAAGGAGTCCGATGTGGACTTGTCGCGCGGCATGGACTTCCAGCCCCGCGGCAATGTCATGGTTCGACTAACCCATCTGCAGCACCACCCCTTCAAATACACGTTCGTTGTGAATAACACTAGTGGTGCCCCACGATACGGCTATGCGCGCATCTTCATGGCGCCCAAGGTGGATGAGAATGGCTATGAAATGCTATTCGCGGATCAGCGTCTAATGATGATAGAGCTAGACAAGTTCTTGATTCAAGTGCCACCCGGCCAACAAACCTTTACTCGCGATTCCACCAGTTCGAATGTAACCATTCCGTTTGAGCGTACTTTCCGTGTTCTGCCGAATAGCAGTGAAACACCAAACACTCCGGAGTCGCAGGAGGACTTCTTCTGCGGCTGCGGCTGGCCCAACCACATGCTGGTGCCCAAGGGAAGGGCTGAGGGTATGAGCTTCGACCTGTTCATCATGGTTTCCAACTATGACAACGATAGGGTGAGTGTTTCCATTCGGTACTTTGGACTTCTCCCGACTCCAATCCTCTTTCGTTCTGCAGGTTGATCAATATGGTGCGGATGGCTGCAGCACCGCGCCCTCTTACTGTGGACTCCGGGACCGCCTCTATCCGGATCGCAAGTCAATGGGCTTCCCCTTCGACCGCCTGCCCCGCACGAATGTCATCACCCTGGACCACTTCCTCACGAGTAACATGAAAACTGCGGAAATTACCATCACCCATGATAGCACCATCGAAAAGCTGCCGTCATTGACAAACCGCAACCGCAATTGATACTGATCCAGCCCACCAATACTGACCCGATTCGATGACCTTTTTCACTTCTAGTTATGTCTCCATCTATTTATGTTTTCCAATATTCCATACTACATTACTCAATAAATTGCAATCAAAACAATAACTATTGTATTATAATAATTTTATACTTATCCTTTTATGAACACTAAGATTTGTTTTAAAAATCGGTTGATTGTAGCTTCTAACTGCTCTATATATGTGTTTTTGAGCATATATATAATGTTTTTGTTGCAACTTTAAGGGTATAAGACTTTCGGTGTGCCGAAGCGACTTGCCTTTTTATGATTTTATTTCTAATTATCTTGTCTGCGGTCTGGGTAAATTTCTGTTACAAAACAGAATCACTAAATTTGATGTCATATCTTGTTTATCGCATATGACTAACATTCTATCTAAAAATATTGATAATATTTTCTGGGATGCTGTTGTGGCGGTGCTTGTCATATCTTTGTTTACCAATTTGTATTGTTGAGGTAATTTTATTTTAAGGGTATAACTTATGTCTTTCTGGAACTGCGTGGAATGTTTTTGGAGACGCATTTCTGTTGTAATTGTATGCATTGGGTTCTGTAGGTTTGTTTTTGTTACTTATGCTCTTAGCAAGGCTATAACTATTAATATGTTAGGCTTGTTTCGTCTTAAATTTTCTTTTTGTACCAAAACAGAATTTAATCAAATGCTCTTTAAAAACTTAAAACAATTCATTATATTTTTGTGTAAAATAGGTTGATTAATTAATTAATTAACAAACCCAATAAAAAAAACCCTCATTCTTTTCGCTTTAAGCCAGTTTGACAAATGATCCACACACTCGATCTATTTCGGTTACAACATTCTGGCCGCCCACATTGTTGCACAGTTCATCGCAACTGCCGATCTCCGTGGGGCACAATGGTAATTGAGGCCTCTCTTGCCACACACGCAAGTGATGAGAAGGAGGAGGATGAGGAGGAGCAGGGGAGTCCCCGGTGGTGGCCGGGCCTAATCACCGCTTAATGGTGTTCACACACTTGTTGCTGACGGCGCCCTCCGTGGAATAGACCTGGCCAAAACCGACTGGCCTGGCCAATCAATGACCGCTAAGCGAATGCTCGTCACGCACGCGAAGGCCGCTGCGCTGGTCATCGGGAATTGGGTACACACGCGTACATTAAACCCACCGCTGAAGACTACGAAAGAGCGCAATCCGAGGCCCCAAGCTAAAACCAAGCATACAAAACCACGCAGGATCAGGTTGTCTCACTGCACAGGTATGCAAATGAGGCACGGCCCATCCAGATAGCCATCGGGCTATGTCCCCCGTACTCATCGCTATCATCGCCCATCGGCTTGAACAGTGTCATCAGCATTATCAACGGCATTCCATGGTCGCTTCTTTCTTCTTTCTGCTTTCTTCCAATTTTCAATTCTTTCGTGCAGACAAGCGTCGCTTTGCATACTAAATTAATTATGTGCTGTCAAAGGCAATTTAACAGAAACTTATATTGCTACTTAATTTACGTCACGGCGCTACCAGAACATCTGCGTTCACTTGCAAGAGGTATAACGCTTTGATTATGGAATTGAAATGTTAGTACTTACTTATTTATTTTTTTTTAATGGGTGCTTTATTTCTTTATGCAATTCATTTTTTTTATTTCTGCACTTGACATTTTAAGATTAGAATGTTTATTTTTATTGGTACATATATAATAAAAAAGGTCTAAATAAGGCTGTTATGGTACTGTATTGTACTCTAGTTTTATTCAATGCGTAAATAGGGATATCAAAGGAAAACTTAAAAGTATAATTTATAAAAATAGTGGTTATGAAGATATTTTAATATGCGATCCATAAGCAAGCCAATAATATGCCAAATTC